TTATTAAAGGGACACTCCAGGCTCCCACACACGTTAGATGCACTGTGTAGGTTAGGTTACAGTTAGTTATACTGGGTGAGTTTATATTATTAAAGGGACACTCCAGGCTCCCACACACGTTAGATGCACTGTGTAGGTTAGGTTACAGTTAGTTATATTGGGTGGGTTTATATTATTAAAGGGACACTCCAGGCTCCCACACACGTTAGATGCACTGTGTAGGTTAGGTTACAGTTAGTTATACTGGGTGGGTTTATATTATTAAAGGGACACTCCAGATTCCTGACTGATTTGAGACTACAGTAGCTAAAAAATGAATAAAAGGCATATATTCATCAGTTGACAGGGTGTAAAACACGCAACAGATGAAAAACAGATTTAATATATTGCACCAAAATATATAAAAATCTGAATATTATCTGTAAAAGTGTCAGCAGCATCATGATACATGTCCCCCATTGTACATTGGAGATAAGCTGCGATTGTAATAAAGAGACGATGCAGGCACAGGACAGATAATATAAAGTGTTAATTGGATTGTGAAAAAAAATAAACATAAACCCAGATACAATCTCAGAGTCTGTTGGCGAGAAGCAGTATAGTAAGAAAAACTACCACAACAAGAGGACATAGTCTTAAATTAGAGGGACAAAGGTTTAAAAATAATATCAGGAAGTATTACTTTACTGAGAGGGTAGTGGATGCATGGAATAGCCTTCCAGCTGAAGTGGTAGAGGTTAACACAGTAAAGGAGTTTAAGCATGCGTGGGATAGGCATAAGGCTATCCTAACTATAAGATAAGGCCAGGGACTAATGAAAGCATTTAGAAAATTGGGCAGACTAGATGGGACGAATGGTTCTTATCTGCCGTCACATTCTATGTTTCTATTATATTAATTTGGCAACTGTGTTTTATAATGTTTAATGAAATTAACAAGCACCGTGCTGCTGTTTCAGAGACTTGGCGGCCATGTGCCACGACCATATCCTCCACGTCTCCAGGATATTTATCACGTGTAGAATGAGCACTGTGCAGTATGTAGAAGTCATACGCTGCAGGTAGTAAATCAGGAATCCTGCAGCATATAAAGTCTACATACTACAGGGCAGCATTTCCATGTCCTGACAATTAACATGGCCTTCCTGTACATGAGATTCAGACTCATATTCTTAGGTTTTGTTGCAATGCATTAACTTGGCTCTCCCCAAGTTAAACGGTAATCCAGACGTAGACTCCTAGAGGGGTATCTACTACACCTCACTGACGAGGCCCAAAGAACGGTATTTTGGTTCTTGACTGCCCTTGTAGGTGGGATCAGTCTGATCTGCAAGGATATGGGTTCTCTCTATAATGGCACAATTGAGCAAAAACTATTTTAAAACCGGAGTGGGGTTTTTCCGAAGGGTAAGCTACGGAGTTTCTTTAAACTTTTGTCCGTTCTCAGATTATCTGTTTTTGTTGCAGAATCCTTGGGGTGCTCTGCAGCATTCTTCTCCCTTACACCGCATCTATACTGCTGAGGATTACTTCAATACCTTATCGTCTCCTAGAATCCTCAGATGGCTGGTCGCGCTCTCGCCACTGCATACTGCATCTATACTGCTGAGGATTACTTCAATACCTTATCGTCTCCTGGAATCCTCAGGTAGCCGGTCGCGCTCTCGCCGATGCATACCGCATCTATACTGCTGTGGATTACTTCAATACCTTATCGTCTCCTAGAATCCTCAGGTGTCCTGTCGCGCTCTCGCCGCTGCATACCCCACCTATACTGCTGTGGATTACTTCAATACCTTATCGTCTCCTAGAATCCTCAGGTGTCCTGTCGCACTCTCGCCCCTGCATACCGCATCTATACCGGCATGCCTCTGAGCTAGGGTTAGCTTCTTCAGCCCCTCTCAGTTTTAGAGCAGTCCATGCATGATACAAACAGGGCATTAATGAGGAGCAGCAGGAGAGAGAAACCCGACTCATGGAGCCTGCTCTGCATGATCATACTAATCAGACTTCCTCTCTTCTCCCCCTGTCTGGACCCTACAAGGTGAAGAGATCTTCCAACTGCATATGTGTAAATATGTCAGTATTCCTAGGGATAGCACACTGATTGGTTAGATCAGTGTCCCTCCTGGAGTGAGTGTGGAAAGCATAAAAAGAAGCAGGTAAATATGAAAAAAAATTAACCTGCCTATTTCTTGCAATTGTCTCATTCAAGGCTGAAAGTTTTGAATGAGACATTTGTCTCAAAGGGATGTCTCTTTAACCTCGAATCAGTTGTGCTTCTAATGTTTTCATGATTTTTACATTCTCTCCCTCTAATATCCTGACACATTGAGAAATGTATGTTTTTATTTTATTTTGTTCTCTTATACATATTGTGTACTAAGGCTTACATTTACTAATGCACTAATAATATAAAATGGAACTAAATGGTCATTTCTAGGCTGGTATACCCATTACTCTATCTCCAGGGGCCGACCTGGTAAACGGCAGAGTCTGCACACAAACCGCAAAGTGGCCGGATGGGCTTCACTGGATCTGTGTATATTTCATCCAGTTATCTAGAAATTATTAACCACCCCAAACAGTGGCGTACACATGACCCATGGGGCCCCGGTGCGAAAATTGATCCGTGGCCCCCCCTCCGGCGCGCGGGCCGGAACACATGGCGGTGGGCCCCTGGTCGCAGGGGTTACAGGGCTGCGACCGCGGTATGTACGCCAGTGCATGCAGATGCACACACACTTAAAGGACCACTCTAGGCACCCAGACCACTGGCTTCTTAATGAAGTGGTCTGGGTGCCAGGTCCAGCTAGGGTTAACCCATTTTTTCATAAACATAGCAGTTTCAGAGAAACTGCTATGTTTATGAATGGGTTAAGCCTTCCCCTATTTCCTCTAGCGGCTGTCTCATTGACAGCCGCTAGAGGCGTTTGCGTGCTTCTCATTGTGATTTTCACAGTGAGAGCACGCCAGCGTCCATAGGAAAGCATTATGAATGCTTTCCTATGTGACCGGCTGAATGCGAGCGCAGCCGACGGGGAGGAGAAGAGGAGGATCGGAGGAGTAGAGCTCTCCACCCAGCACTGGAAAAAGGTAAGTTTTACCCCTTTTCCCCTTTCCAGAGCCGGGCGGGGGCACCCTCAGGGCACTATAGTGGTCCTTTAAAGGACCACTAGAGACACCCAGATCACATCAGCTCAATGAAGTTGTCTGGGTGTCAGGTCCCTCTAGTTTTAACCCTGCAGCTGAAAACATAGCAGTTTCAGAGAAACTGCTATGTTTCACTAAGGGTTACTCAAGCCTCTAGTGGCTGTCTCACTGACAGCCGCTAGAGGAGCACACTGAACGTCCATAGGAAAGCACTGAGTAATGCTTTCCTATGGGCGGTTTGAATGCGTGCGCGGTCGCATTCGGAGCGGAGAGGCTGAGGGATCCCCAGCGCCAAGGGAGTCCGGCGCTGGAGAAAGGTAAGTGCTGAAGACACACACACACTCTCACTTACAGACGCATACACACTAGCTAACAGAGAGACACTCAGCGACAGACATACATACACACTCACTTACAAAACATACACTCTCATTGACAAACACACACTCACTAACAGACATCAAACAGACTCACTAAGACACTCACTCTAACACTAACACTCAAACAAACACTAACACTCACTCTAACACTAACTCTAACACTTTTTTTTTTTTAATGTAATCCCCCCCAGCCTCCTTACCTTGTGGAGTGCTGGGGGGATTCCCTGGGGTCCAATGGTGCTGCTGGCACCCGGCGGGTGGGCGGTCTGTCTGGGTGGCCGGCGCGCGAGGGATCACTCTCCCCTGAGTGCTTCCTCGTCAGCTCCCTCGCGCGCCGCGTAGGGATGCCGGAGCCGGAAGATGACGTCATCTTCCGGCTCCGGTATCAGTACGGTGCGCGAGGGAGCTGACGAGGAAGCACTGAGTGCTCCCTCGCGCGCCCGCCTGCCCGGGCCAGCCTCGGGGGGGGGGGGCCTGAGGTGGGCCCCCCAGCAGAAGAGGCTGGCCCTGTGGGTACATACCGGGTCGCAGGGGCGGCCTGGCCCCCTGGTGGGCCGGGCCCGGTCGCAGCCGTGACCCCTGCGACCCTGGTATGTACGCCACTGACCCCAAACATGCAAATCAGGGGGGCTCAAGCTGCACAAAAACAACCAAAGAAATCTGAAACCAGTCTGCTTGTCTATTGGGGCCAACATGGTGAAATAAATACTACTAATAACCACTGTTCCTACTGTGTTCAAAGAGAATAAGAGAGACTGTGCCATCTGACCAGAGATTATTAATGTATTACTGCCCCCTGTGCTGAGCATTCATTGAGGAAGATGGACAACAACAAACTGCAAGGGGGCTCGAGATCCAGATCACAGTGCGATGAAACACGACAAGTTCATCAAACGTTTCATCCCCACATTTGTTATCTCGACTTATCAGTTTATCTCCTCTGGGTCATCACAAGGTCCCTTCCTGAGATAGATCAGTCCTAACAGACAGGAACCTCGCACTCAGCCCAACTTCCCTTAAATATTATCTGTAACAAACCATAAGGACCAAGCACAGGTTTCTCCCCCCCCCAGAAAAGCAATGCCTGCTGGGTAATACCAGCTGATAGATCCAAGTTAACCTATTGCTGCTAGCTCTGTGTGTAAAGGGCACAGGATGCAGTGCACGCTAATGTGTCGGGGGGGGGGGGAGAATTTCTATAGTTTTCCTCCATTTTCCCATCCCATGAGAAGAGGACTGCGTTTTACCCAATATAATCGCACCCAATGCTTATGTAAGATCTAGTTGTTCAGATGAGGGAAAACTGCATTTAAATTGTCATTTCTGTCATTACATCGAGATATTGACTTACTTTACCCTTGGTCGGGTTATTACAAGTGCTCCGCAAGCCGTCATTTTATGTTATATGTAAGTGCTGTGTAAACATGTGTACAGTAACAATCACACGTCATTGCTATGCGACCAGTAAAGTCGACTCAGCCTGCGACGGTCGCACAGCATTTTGCGCTGTGAAACGCTGCTTCATACAATGTCTGCCGGGGAATTGTGTTATTTATTAAACTATTGGGAGTCTATACAGAGATTTCCTATCTATTCATATACAATAATAAACTATTATATTGCATCGGAGAATACAGGAATAGCACAATAAAAAGATATCGGAAGGAGAGGGATGTTTCCCAAGATGGCTGCGCTCCTGAATCGGATATATTCAGACACAATGCGCTCTTAGAAATAATTTAACCCAAAGCTGCTGATTTAAAGGAGAACAGTCACTTCACTGGAATGTAAAACACTGAACGTCATCTATAACTTACATGAAATAATCGGATTTCTTTTAAATTTATATAAAATAAAATTACATCATAATTTTAATCCAGTTCACACAAAACACAGCCAGGGCACAGTCTCCCCTTCTCTGTACGCAGAGTGCCCGGGTCAATGGGCGTAGCTTACAATGATTGACAGTGAGCTAAGATGGAGGCGCCAGTGACAGGATTAAGAGGTGTTGATATCTAAATTTTATTTTTATATCTCAAAAAACACAATTGTTAAAGGGACACTATAGTCACCAGAATAACTACAGCTCATTGAATTTGTTCTGGTGAGTAGAATCATTACCTTCAGGCTTTTTGCTGTAAACACTGTCTGTTCAGAGAAAATGTTTACATTACAGCCTATGATACCTCCACTGACCACTCCTCAGTTGGCTGCTAGAGGTGCTTCCTGGGGCAGTGCTGCACAGTGTGACTGACATTCAGTATCTCCACCCTCTGCATGCAAACACTGAACTTTCCTCATAGAGATTCATTGATTCAATGTATCTCTATGAGGAGATGCTGATTGGCCAGGGCTGTGTTTGACTTGTGCTGGATCTGCCTCCTTGACAGTCTCAGCCAATCCTATGGGGAAGCATTGTGATTGGATCAGACCACCACTTCTGATGAGGTCAGCCAAGCAGGCAGATCAGGCTCAGAGGCAGCCGCAGACTGGAATAAAGGTAAGATTTTACTATATTTAGGGAGGGCAAGACGGAGACCAGATGGTGGTTTTAACACTATTTGGTCAGTAATACGTTTGTGTTCCTGACCTGATAGTGTTTCTTTAATTATAGGGTTGAATGAACAGAATATTCTGGGAAGGGACAGTTTAAAGGATACTATAGGCACCCAGATCACGTCAGCTCATGGAAGTGTCCCTGTCCCCCTTATTGCAGGTTCAGAGAAAATGTTTTCATTTTAGTGGCGGTCTTCCTTCAGATTCACACTATAGTATGCACAATAGGTTCTCCCTCGTAATGACATCAGGGTGGCAGAGACAGACACAGACTGCCACTAGAGGGGCTTCCTGTGACATTCAATGTCTCCATCACCTGCATGGAGGGGCTGAACGTCCCCAATAGAGATACATTGTTCAATTAATCTCTATGAGGAGATGCTGATTGGTGCAGCACAGTGTTTTGTCGGGCATGCACAATATCCTCACAATGATTTCCTATGGGAAAGCATTACATTGGCTCAGATCATCAAAACTGACTCAGTCATGGAGGCGGAGCCAGCACCTTTTCACTCCACAGAGAACAGGACCGGCGACCTGCACAGTCACTCCAGCAATAAAGTAGCAGAGATACACTATAGTGTTCCTTCAAAGCAGCGCTGTCCCACCAAACGTACCAAATCGCTTCCTCTGTCCTACGCTATCTTCCTTTTTTTCATTTTCCAGCTATTTCAAACTAAATACACAAGACAAAGTTGGGATTACTTTGACTTGTGTATTTTTCCTACGCCTGACATTCTCTGACACAAGGAGGAGCTTAAGTAACCCTCCTCTGTATTCTGGCATTGCATCCGTTCGCCATTTACGAACGTCCTGTCATGTTGACTAGGGCGCTGCTGAAATGACAGAATTCAGTCATTATTTTCCATTCAGAATTTATTCAGATATAAACATTCCGATCCGGGCTGCATCTTGCAGCCATTCAGGAGATAGCCCCCTAAATTGGTACCCCATGGGATCATATAATAGCAATGCCACAAGCACTAGGGAGCTATCTACTAAAAAAACAAGTCCTTCCTTTTCTTAATTGTGGTCTTTCAGACAGCCTTATTAACAATAATAAAACTTAGTATTGGTAAATAAGGTTAAATTCTCCCTCCTGCCCCTAGTGTCACCAACCAGCCGCTAATGGATCTGGGCTGGGTCATACTGGCCCCTAGAGTGAGGGGGGATTTAGGATCCTATTTTTTACATATTACAAGAAGGGAGCCGTGGTCAGAAGCAAGTCGTTCTTAGTTCGTTGTAATTTCTATTTGTTCATTTGACTTTCTGACGAACGGACAAATAGCTGGAATTCGGACAAAAGCGCCCAAGTGTTTAAGTGGGCATGTGCGTGTATTTAACAGCAAGCTACTGTGGCCAGATAAAGGCCCTGCGGTACATGTCCTCCAGGAACAGTAAGGTGGAGGCACCTAGGACATAGAGAAGAATGGAAGGGGGTCCCCGAGCCATTTTGGCGTGACAATCAAATGTTGGGAGGAGTCGGAGGGGGTTGTTATAAAATGTAGCCATGAGAGTGCCGCTTTAAGGTTAAAGGCAGGGTTAGTTAGCGGGTACATTGATTAAAGGTAGGATTAGTTAGGGGGTATATTGATAAAATTTAGGGTTAGTTAGGGGGTACATTGATAAAAGATAGGGTTAGTTAGTGGGTACATTGATATAAGGTAGGGTTAGTTAGCTGGTACATTGATAAAAGGTAGGGTTAGTTACAGGGGTACATTAATATAAGGTAGGGTTAGTTAGGGGGTACATTGATAAAAGGTAGGGTTAGCTAGGGGTACACTGATAAAAGGTGGGAATAGTTAGGGGGTACATTGATAAAAGGAAGGGTTAGTTAGGGGGTACATTGATAAAAGGAAGGGTTGGTTAGGGGGTACATTGATAAAAGGTGGGGTTAGTTATGTGGTACATTGATAAAAGGTGGGGTTAGTTATGGGGTACATTGATAAAAGGTGGGGTTAATTATGGGGTACATTAATAAAAGGTAAGGTTAGTTAGTAGGTACATTGATAAAAGGTAGGCTTGGTTAGTGGGTACATTGATAAAAGGTGGGGTTAGTTAAGGGATACATTGATAAAAGGTAGGGTTAGTTAGGGGGTACATTGATAAAAGGTGGGGTTAGTTATTGGGTACATTGATAAAAAGTGGGGTTAGTTATGGGGTACACTGATAAAAGGTGGGGTTAGTTAGGGGTTACATTGATAAAAGGTGGGGTTAGTTAGCGGGTACATTAATTAAAGGTAGGGTTAGTTAGCAGGTACAATGATAAAAGGTTAGCAGGTACATTGATTAAAGGTTAGGGTTGGTTAGCGGGTACATTGATAAAAGGTAGGGTTGGTTAGCGGGTACACTGATAAAAGGAAGATATAGGATAATGGGAGATATAGTCCACACCTGGAGTGCTAAAGGTTGCCTACACCTAATTTAAAAGTAGAGATAATTAGGGGCAGAGCTAGGTTAGATAGGGGGTGCATTATGTAGAGGTAGGTTAGATAGGCGGTGCATTATTTAGAGGTAGGTTAAGTAGGGGGGCATTAATTAGAGGTAGGTTAGGTAGGTGGAGCATTATTTAGAGGTAGGTTAGGTAGGGGGAGCATTATTTAGAGGTAGGTTAGATAGGGGAGCATTATTTAGAGGTAGGTTAGATAGAGGGAGCGTTATTTAGAGGTAGGTTAGATAGAGGGAGCGTTATTTAGAGGTAGGTTAGATAGGGGGTGCATTATTTAGAGGTAGGTTAGATAGGGGATGCATTAGCTAGGTTAGATAGGAGAGCCCTATTTAGAGGTAGGTTAGACAGGGGGAGCATTATTTAGAGGTAGGCTAGATAGAGGGAGCATTATTTAGAGGTAGGTTAGACAGGGGGAGCATTATTTAGAGGTAGGTTAGATAGAGGGAGCATTATTTAGAGGTAGGTTAGATAGAGGGAGCATTATTTAGAGGTAGGTTAGACAGGGGGAGCATTATTTAGAGGTAGGTTAGATAGAGGGAGCATTATTTAGAGGTAGGTTTATTTAGATAGGTTAGGGAGCATTATTTAGAGGTAGGTTAGACAGGGGGAGCATTATTTAGAGGTAGGTTAGATAGAGGGAGCATTATTTAGAGGTAGGCTAGACAGGGGGAGCATTATTTAGATGTAGGTTAGATAGAGGGAGCATTATTTAGAGGTAGGTTAGACAGGGGGAGCATTATTTAGAGGTAGGTTAGATAGAGGGAGCATTATTTAGAGGTAGGTTAGATAGAGGGAGCATTATTTAGAGGTAGGTTAGACAGGGGGAGCATTATTTAGAGGTAGGTTAGATAGAGGGAGCATTATTTAGAGGTAGGTTAGACAGGGGGAGCATTATTTAGAGGTAGGTTAGATAGAGGGAGCATTATTTAGAGGTAGGCTAGACAGGGGGAGCATTATTTAGATGTAGGTTAGATAAGGGGAGCATTATGTAGAGATAGGTTAGAGAGGGGGAGTAACATTTCAAAAATACGTATTGTAAGATCCTGTTTAGCTTGCTTGAGAATCTTCATAAAAGGTAGAATTCTGTTTCATATATTCATGTGGGCTGGACGTTTTTCTTTTTGGATTTTTATTTCGATGTGGGCTTGCTAGTTGCCCCCTTGATAATGTTTTGCTCCTTGTTAGAGCACCAATTTCGGCTGGATTAACGATGTTAGTATCCAGGACAATCAACAAACGGGTTGTTTGGAGAAACCAACTCTTTTTGTCTCTCAATCTGGTTACAATTCGGTGCCAGGACAGTTTAATATCACTAGGAATGCTGAGTACATTTACTATATAATTGTATCTAGAAGAGTCAACAACCCAGGTTACAGGAAAAACAAGAATAACCAAGGTGAAGGTAGGCTGAAACGTAGGCAATATTATGGCGTAATATATACATCCTGCGTGACATCCTGTGTACAATGACCTAGTTACATTAATTAAACTGCTTCCTTTTAATCTTGGCAGCTGCTACATACCTGCTCTGTAGGTCTACCCCACCCTAACATCAGGACTCAGACACCAGAAAAGCAAATAAAAGAGTACAGCTCTTACTGCAATAACTGTAATGCTTTCACCATCAGCTCTGAAAACAAAATCTACTAAAAACACATAAAAAAAAAAAAAGCAGAATGACACAGAGAGACTGGTACAAGGCGGTCTCTGGCCGCGGGGCACAGAGAGACTGGTACAAGGCGGTCACCAGCTGCGGGGCACAAAGAGACTGGTACAAGGCGGTCACTGGCCGCGGGGCACAAAGAGACTGGTACAAGGCGGTCACTGGCCGCGGGGCACAGAGGGACTGGTACAAGGCGGTCACTGGCCGCGAGGCACAGAGGGACTGGTACAAGGCGGTCACTGGCCGCGGGGCACAGAGGGACTGGTACAAGGCGGTCACTGGCCGCGGGGCACAGAGGGACTGGTACAAGGCGGTCACTGGCTGCGGGGCACAGAGGGACTGGTACAAGGCGGTCACTGGCCGCGGGGCACAGAGGGACTGTGTATAAGGCGGTAACTGGCCGCGGGGCACAGAGGGACTGGTACAAGGCGGTTACTGGCCGTGGGGCACAGAGGGACTGGTACAAGGCGGTCACTGGCCGTGGGGCACAGAAGGACTGGTACAGTGGGCATAGATAACCCCTCATCCACAGTGCTCGAGCTTCTTTCGGCATTTCATGTGCTATGGATAGTTTTCCCACAATGCACCTCCAGGCCAGCGAGGTTATCAGTGCTGTAATTTGTTCACCGGGAATCAATATGGTGCAGAGCAATTCAGAACAGTAGAACATCCTAAAAATAAAAATAGAGACCACTTGCACATAATGAATGGTTTTTGCCTGACCCCCACGTTAATCTTTATGAAAAAGATAGGTGGACACAAGAGGAAAAGTACCATTTAATATCCGAGTACATCCTGTGCATGAATAAAAAATAATCACAAATAGAATTTCAATAGACATCATCCTTGGATATCAGACTATTCTAATTTGTCGCTCTAAAGAGTCCCTTGTGACAATCTATGGCCTGAAAATACAGTGGAATTCAAAAAGCACCACATTGCTAAAAGAAAAGTAAAAAAAAATAGAGACTTCCGAGTGTTTCATCCTGCGCACTCTCCCAGCCAAGTCCCACAGTCTCGCTATGTTCACACTTTCTGCACCACTGGGGTGTCGATGGCTTTCTTCCCCTTTCTTCTCATTCTGCCTCGGGCGTAAACTCGCAGGAAAAGTGCCAGGAATACAACAGCCACCCCCACTGAACCCACTGCAGTAACGGGATGGCCATAGAGTAGACAGGATAGTAGAATGGCCAGAGCCTGGCGCAGAGTCATGATTATGGTGAAAACTGCAGCTCCAAACTTGCTGATTGTGTAAAAAATGAAGAGTTGGCCAAAAGCTGAGCAGATGGAAAGCAACGATGCATGGAATGCGAAATCTGGGTGTCGTACCATGAAATGGATGGCTTCCAGCAAGGCCCCCTGTTCCAGCAGGGAGAACACTGTAAACAGACAGGAGAAGAGGTTCACCCCAAACATCATTTGTACAGAGGACATCTTGTACGCGAAGAGGGAGTCTTGCCAGTTAGAGGTGAAGCTGTCAAAGGCTATATATCCGGTCAGGATGACCACGCCGGAGAATGTGGTGACACTTGTTGCCCGCTCACTTCCCCCGTTGGACAATAAGAACATGCTAACACCCACAGAAATGAGGACTGCTGTCAGGTACTCCCAGTACTCGTAGCTCTTGTGAAAGACTACCTTTCCCATCAGCATGACTGGAATCACCTTGGAAGCTTTCGCCAAAACCTGGGTGGGAAAACTGATAAATTTGAGAGCCTCATACTGACACCAGCTGCTGAGAATGTTGGAGAGAGATGCAAAAGAGTATTTATACATGGGGGCACCATGGCGTGGCTGCTTGGTGACAGCACAGTAGATTCCGGCCACCGTTAGTGCCAAGATTCGGTTCATGAAAACCAGAAACTGAGAGTCTCGAAAACGCTCACCTACTTTTCCAACTTCTGTACTGTAAGTACGGGTCATAACTCGTTCTTGCAAAACACCCCAGGTCAGATAAGAAACCTAGGAAGCAGAAAGGACACGCGTTGAGCTCAGATATGCATTGAAGGTCTGTAACAAGTCATTCTTACTGCTGTAATAAAGATTAATATATTATCGGTAAGCTCACCTGGAGCCCAGCAGCACAGAAAATAAGCTTGCAGGCCTGTTGCGTAGTGGAGCTTTGGGCATCAGTCTGCGTGCTGGAAACGTGTTCCTCGGGGACCTTAGCTTCATTCCCAAAAACACAGGATTTCACCATAGGAAAGCATAGCCCGCGACCTAGCAAATATGGAGTATTTACTTTAAATGAACAAATGACAATTACGGGAAGAATGACACTGTTCTGGAAAGGTTATAAGGAGACCCTAGCACACACAGGCAGAGAAAGGACAGATAGCACAGAAATTGAAGAGAGAGAAAAAAAGACTAAAACAAAAATTCTGGAGCCTAGATTTACACAGCTGGCACACAAACATATAGGGGAATAAATGGCACAGAGGTTACGGAAGAGAAATAAGGATAAGCTGAAATTCATCGACTTTGAAAGGAGATAAGTATTCATTCATCTGTGTCTAGATTTTTTTATTTGGGGGGGTGAGAGGGGGTATGGGGCACAGAGGACCTGGAAGTGGGTAAGGGGGGACTGGCACAGAGGATCTAGAACCGAGTAAGGGGGGCTGGCACAGAGGATCTAGAAGTGGGTAAGGGGAGCTGGCACAGAGGATCTAGAAGTGGGTAAGGGGAGCTGGCACAGAGGATCTAGAAGTGGGTAAGGGGAGCTGGCACAGAGGATCTAGAAGTGGGTAAGGAGGGACTGGCACAGAGGATCTAGAAGTGGGGAAGGAGGGACTGGCACAGAGGATCTAGAAGTGGGTAAGGAGGAACTGGCACAGAGGATCTAGAAGTGGGTAAGGAAGGGCTGGCACAGAGGATCTAGAAGTGGGTAAGGAAGGGCTGGTACAGATGATCTAGAAGTGGGTAAGGAAGGGATGGCACAGAGGATCTGGAAGTGGGCGAGGAAAGGCTGGCACAGAGGATCTGGAAGTGGGTGAGGGGTTGGCACAGAGGATCTGGAAGTGGGTAAGGGGGGGTGGCACAGGATCTAGAAGTGGGTGAGGAAGGACCAGCACAGATGATCTAGAAGTGGGCAAGGGGGGCTGGCACAGAGGATCTAGAAGCGGGTAAGGGGTCTGGAACAGAGGATCTAGAAGTGGGTAAGCGGGGCTGGCACAGAGGATCTGGAAGTGGGTAAGGAAGGGCTGGCACAGAGGATCTGGAAGACAGTAAGGGGGGCTGGCACAGAGGATCTGGAAGTGGGTAAGGGGGGCTGGCACTGAGGATCTAGAAGTAGGTAAGGGTGGCTGGCACAGAGGATCTAGAAGTGGGTAAGGGTGGCTGGCACAGAGGATCTAGAAGTGGGTAAGCAGGGCTGGCACAGAGGATCTGGAAGTGGGTAAGGAAGGACTGGCACAGAGGATCTGGAAGACAGTAAGGGGGGCTGGCACAGAGGATCTGGAAGTGGGTAAGGGGGGCTGGCACTGAGGATCTAGAAGTAGGTAAGGGTGGCTGGCACAGAGGATCTAGAAGTGGGTAAGGGTGGCTGGCACAGAGGATCTAGAAGTGGGTAAGCAGGGCTGGCACAGAGGATCTGGAAGTGGGTAAGGAAGGACTGGCACAGAGGATCTGGAAGACAGTAAGGGGGGCTGGCACAGAGGATCTGGAAGTGGGTAAGGGGGGCTGGCACTGAGGATCTAGAAGTAGGTAAGGGTGGCTGGCACAGAGGATCTAGAAGTGGGTAAGGGTGGCTGGCACAGAGGATCTAGAAGTGGGTAAGCAGGGCTGGCACAGAGGATCTGGAAGTGGGTAAGGAAGGACTGGCACAGAGGATCTGGAAGTGGGTAAGGAAGGACTGGCACAGAGGATCTAGAAGTGGGTAAGGGGGGCTGGCACAGAGATTAAGGAAAGTGAGACTGACGTATATAGATATAATAAGAGAGATGCTCGCAGTGAGAGTGCAAGGTTCTGGAGAATAGATGGATACACCACGTGAGACAGGCAGATTTATTGCACAGGGATCTCATTCCTTACCAGTTTCCAGATAATTTTTGCTCTTGAAGTATTTGATGATCAGAAATCCTGGTACCACTATGGTCGCATAACCGGCAATATTCACCAGAAAGCGCAAAAGCCAGAAATCCCCCCATGGATCCTGCGCTTCTGCTGCCGGGGGAGGCTCCTCAGCACAGACCCCAAAAATACCAACCAGGAGCAGAAGCAGTGAGCTTGAGGGAGAGAAATCAAGTGTTAACCACATACTGAGTGTCCGTCCACCATAAACACATAAGAGACCACAGATATACACACTAAACAATCCAAGCAGCTTCCAGATACACACACACACCGAGCGACCGGCTTCCAGATACACACACACACACACCGAGCGACCGGCTTCCAGATACACACACACACACCGAGCGACCGGCTTCCAGATACACACACACACCCCGAGCGACCGGCTTCCAGATACACACACACACCGAGCGACCGGCTTCCAGATACACACACACACCGAGCGACCGGCTTCCAGATACACACACACACCGAGCGACCGGCTTCCAGATACACACACACACACCGAGCGACCGGCTTCCAGATACACACACACACCGAGCGACCGGCTTCCAGTTGCACGCACAGCGAGCAAGCGGCTTCCAGATACACACACAGCGAGCAGATACATGCACAGCGAGCAAGCGGCTTCCAGATGCACACACAGCGAGCGAGCGGCTTCCAGATACACACACAGCAAGCAGATACACGCACAGAGAGCAGATACAAGCACAGCAGCCAGATACACGCACAGAGAGCAGATACACGCACAGCGAGCGAGCGGCTTCCAGATACACGCACAGCAAGCAGATACACGCACAGCGAGCGAGCGGCTTCCAGATACACGCACAGAGAGCAGATACACGCACAGAGAGCAGATACACGCACAGAGAGCAGATACACGTACAGCAAGCAGATACACGCACAGAGAGCAGATACACGTACAGCAAGCAGATACACGCACAGCGAGCGAGCGGCTTCCGGATACACGCACAGAGAGCAGATACACGTACAGCAAGCAGATACACGCACAGAGAGCAGATACACGCACAGCGAGCAGATACACGCACAGAGAGCAGATACACGCACAGAGAGCAGATACACGCACAGAGAGCAGATACACGTACAGCAAGCAGATACACGCACAGAGAGCAGATACACGTACAGCAAGCAGATACACGCACAGCGAGCGAGCGGCTTCCGGATACACGCACAGAGAGCAGATACACGTACAGCAAGCAGATACACGCACAGAGAGCAGATACACGCACAGAGAGCAGATACACGCACAGCGAGCGAGCGGCTTCCAGATACACGCACAGCGAGCAGATACACGCACAGCAAGCAGATACACGCACAGCAAGCAGATACACGCACAGAGAGCAGATACACGCACAGCGAGCGAGCGGCTTCCAGATACACGCACAGAGAGCAGATACACGCACAGAGAGCAGATACACGCAAAGAGAGCAGATACAAGCACAGCGAGCAGATACACGCACAGCGAGCGAGCGGCTTCCAGATACACGCACAGAGAGCAGATACACGCAAAGAGAGCAGATACAAGCACAGCGAGCAGATACACGTACAGCGAGCGGCTTCCAGATCCACGCACAGAGAGCAGATACACGTACAGCAAGCAGATACACGCCAAGAGAGCAGATACACGTACAGCGAGCGGCTTCCAGATACACACACACGAGCGACTTCCAGATCCACGCACAGCGAGCAGATACACGCACAGCAAGCAGATACACGAAAAGAGAGCAGATACAAGAACAGCAGGCAGATCCACGCAAAGAGAGCAGATACAAGCACAGCGAGCAGATACAAGCACAGCGAGCGAGTGGCTTCCAGATCCACGCAAAAAGAGCAGATACAAGCACAGCAGGCAGATACGCACAGCGAGCGAGCGGCTTCCGGATACACACACGAGCGACTTCCAGATCCACGCACAGCGAGCAAGCGGCTTCCAGATGCACGCACAGCGAGCAAGCGGCTTCCAGATACACACACAGCGAGCAAGCGGCTTCCAGATGCACGCACAGCGAGCGAGTGGCTTCCAGATACACACACAGCGAGCAAGCGGCTTCCAGATACACGCACAGCGTGAGCGAGCGGCTTCCAGATACACGCACAGCGAGCGAGCGGCTTCCAGATACACACACAGCGAGCAAGCGGCTTCCAGATGCATGCAAAGCGAGCACATACACGCACAGTGAGCGAGCGGCTTCCAGATACACGCACAGCGAGCGAGCGGCTTCCAGATACACACACAGCGAGCAAGCGGCTTCCAGATGCATGCAAAGCGAGCACATACACGCACAGTGAGCGAGCGGCTTCCAGATACACGCACAGCGAGCGAGCGGCTTACAGATACACACACAGCGAGCAAGCAGCTTCCAGATGCACACACAGCGAGCAAGCGGCTTCCAGATGCACACACAGCGAGCGAGCGGCTTCCAGATACACGCACAGCGAGTGAGTGACTTCCAGATACACACAATTTAATGGGGCACAATATATAATAATAATTTAGTGAACACATAACACACTTTTTACATTTAAATACCAGAGTGTGAAAGAATTGATGGTGTCAGTGTGCCAGACACACACTTACTGTACATCCGAATAAGCTCACAGACTGATCTGAGTAAAATAACCAGAGCCCAGTCCTGTGATCCAAGGCTGCGGTTCTCAATATCAACTGAACCAGGAGTTCTGGAGTGAATTTAGTCACATAACATTATTACATTGAGTGTACAACGGGGGAGCTGCTGTGAATGTGGAGTTAGAGATATATTTATTGTTACAGTCGCCCTTAGATTCCAGAAAGAGGGGGAGACATAGTACAGGTGTCTTTTACACACAGGGCAGGTGACACTGGAACAATGGAAAATAGGGGGGCCCAGAAGGTAGGGTTCCAGCTGGCAAAGCCCTACGTCTAGCGTAGAGGAACTTGGAGCAATCTGTAGAAATGCTGTTTGTTTCCATGGTGGCAGCTCCAGATTTGGATTGCTTTCAATGTATGTTACTGGTATTAACCCTGCGTACACTACACACACGCTGCTGTCAGAGATACAGAACAGCAAGTCACTTAAAGGGAGGGCGACGTGGTGCGAGCTCAGTGCCAATGGACTATGGAAACATAGTGGAGGGACAGGGGTGATGTGTAACCAGAGACGGTACCCAAAAAGATGGAAATGAACTGGGTTGTCACTTCCATTCTTCACCCCAGGATTCAGGCGCATGTACGTGAGATAAGTAAAGGGCAGAGTCCGTTCCCTGTCACTGGATTGATTTTATTACTACAAGGAGATCAATATGACGATTACCTGCCAGTATTGCTGGATTAGACAGAGTTAAATAATGTAAATATCATTAACGTTATGACACCAGGAGTACCCAGGCACGGTTTTACAGTAATGAAGCAAAACACTTTGACCTGTTACCTGGACCCACTAGGCGCCAGGTCTCCTGGGAAGCAAGGTTTCACGATATTCGGCTGAATGTCAATCCATGCTGCTTATAAATTTGCACAGAATTGACACTAGCTAGCCCCAAACTCTTGCTGGTGCTGGCTGATGACGTCCCAGTGATCCAGCAGCAGAAGGGTTAAACTCTGTATGTGCAGCGTTTCACAGACTCCAGGGACCATGAACACTTCAAATCAGTGAGGTGGTCATGGTAGCTGGATTAATCCTTTAATAATAACTACTTGCTGAACCCAAGAAAAATGTTGACGTCAGGAAGAGTCGTTTGAGATACAGTTGGCGTTCGCCATATACTGAATCAACAGCAGCGACAGAGATTGGTAAAAGGTTGAACCGGCGTCTTGGGCCCAATAAACATATATCTACTGTATCGGCAGAGCAAATCCATCCACACGCAATACGCAGAGCAAACCCATCCACATGCAATACACACAGCAAACTACAGAGCAGGGGAGGGTGGAGAAATACGGAGGAGGATGTTAGCTTGTTAATGACGTTATGGGTCAGGGATTGGCAACCTTCGGCACCCAAGATGTTGTGGACTACAATTCCCATGATGCTTTGCTAGCATTATGACTGTGTTATTGAAGCCGAAGGTTGCCTGCCCCTATTATAGGTCAATCAGTGCCCGTTTTCTGTCAATCTGTTCTAGATCCGATTATGGGATATGCTAGTCCCCAGTGAAAGAATTAGAAAGCTGCACAGGAGATACATTTAGATTTGAGTAAGTGATTGGGGCTGCAATCACTGAAAGATCATTCCACTTGTAGAAACCTGTAACATTTAAGACACCCAACCCTTTATAACACATACACCCATTTAAAGTGTGTCATAGGATTCCATTAGGAGGAAGAATGAATGAAGTGTATAGTACTGTCCGTGACGCCATCACAGCTCCTGTCAAATAATGAGTTCATTGTGCCTTTAAGGTGTCTCAGCCGACATGCCGCGAGAGAGACACACACACACCTAGTGTGTAAGGAAGAGAGGGCAACTGTGGAAGCATGTCTTTCCAATATGAAGTTGGTCCAATGAAAGCCGGACCGTTGCATACGTCAATACTCAGGTTATCTTTGATATGTATCTATATGAGGCTCCGTCCCTGTGTGTTTTATGATGCACACACCCTGTATACCTACAAATATAAAACCAACAACATTAGAACTCACCCCTGCGCACAAAACCACACTATTATATTACAGCCCTCTTGTTAATGTTTTACCTTATAGAGCAATCTGTCAGATATAACAACCAGACAGACAGCTGCCGGTCCGTGAATTGCCTGTCTCATATTATGTGTGTTTCCCCATCTTTTCGTGTCTTCTGCCGCTCCTCGTTCGGTAGGGTTCCCACAAAGGGAATTCATTCGCCCCCCTGAACGGGGACTACCCAGATACCCGATTTAGATTGTTAGTTTAGAACCTTCACACTTTGCAACATAGTGTCAAACTGCAAGGGAAACAATTAATAAGCACTCCTCTGGCTAGCTGCCATTCGTACAGATGAACGTCAGCCAGGGGGAGCATTCGTGGATTATTCCCTGATTCGTACGTCTCTCGAATGAGGACCTCCCCAGTGTCCCATTAGAACGTTCACACCAATCAGAACGTTTGCACCTGCAAAACACGTGTGAAACAGCAAGGGAAGTAATAAATGAATGCACCCCTGGTTGGCCGCCATTTCGTACAATCGAATGCCGTTGCCGTCCAGGGGGAGCATATGCGTCCCCCTAAAGGAGATGCTTTCCTAGCCGGGTTTCACACAGAGACCCCGCGAGCGAAGCCTGGTCGAGGAAGGTACCGCTGTGAGGGTCCCTGAGATTGGTGTGGGCACTGGCGAGCTTTGCGGTGCCCGCTGGGAAAAAGAGACCTGCTCTTTTCCCACGGGCTGGCACTCTATGCCTGGGAGACAAATGGTCCCCTTTTCCTGCGCTTGTACTCCCAGGTACAGAGGCTCATGGGATGAAGACCCCTCTGTGACGGTCTGCGCGAGGACGCGCTCAGTGAAACATACTCTCACCACGCAGTGTAATGGGCTCAGGTAACGACCCACGTACTGTATGAGGACACACACTCTCACCCCCTCTTCATATGTCTGGCAGATCTCGTGTCCCCCCCGCACTGTGAGTCTGTATTTTCTACTAATATATACAGGAGACATGCTCTTGGAATCTTCGCTTTTATCACCTCTATTGGCTGTAAGCTCTTGGGATCAGGGTCCTATGAATGGTTTATCCATTGTACAGTACTGCAGCTAATGTTGGGGCTTGTATTCCAGCCTGAATCTGGAAGAGGGTGCAGGCAGCTAGCTGAATGGCCCAGCAGGATTAATGTCGTCCCAGGACAATGCAGAGTCTGTTTCCAGCATTCAGGATGGTCGGGTCAGGGAATAGAAGGAGGATTGAGTGCAGGGAGAGGGGAGGAGGGAAAGGTAGAGAGGGGCTTTATTCAGCAGGCACAGAGATGACGTGTCAGACAGGACTGAGGTGTAAAATGTTGAACAGAAATTGAAGGTTTTCGCCTGAGTGAAAGACACTGAATGGTAGTTAAAGAGTTACACTGGGACTGATTTAACTCAAGGATTTGTCCCCAAAACTTACATACAGATAAACCATGAAGGACCTCCAACACCCTGTGCAGGTGTTATGGTTTATTAAGCTGATTAGAGTGGTACACTGTGAGCCTAGAGTATTGCACCTTTTCACAATATTCTAATTTACTGAGATTGTGGATTTGGGGTTTTCATGAGCTGTAAGCCATAATCATCGCACTTATGACAAATCACGGCTTGAACTATCTGGCTTTGCATGTAATGCGTCTCTCTCATATATTAGTTTCCCCTTTTGCGTTGCATTACTGAAATAAATGAACTTTTGCACGATATTCTAATTTTTCGAGTATCACCTGTATTTACATAGTTACAAAGTTACATAGCTGAAAAGAGACTTGCGTCCATCAAGTTCAGTCTCACTTCTGTTTTTGCTGTTGATCCAAAAGAAGGCAAAAAACCCAGTCTGAAGCGCTTCCAATTTTGCAACAAACTAGAAAAAAGTTACTTCTTGACCCCAAAATAGCAGTCAGATGTCTCCTTGGATCAAGCAGCTATTACCCCACTAATTAGAAATTATATCCCTGTATGTTATATTTTTTCAAGTATTTATCCAATTTCGGTTTAAACATCTGTATGGACTCTGATAAAACCACCTCTTCAGGCAGAGAATTCCATATCCTTATAGCTCTAACTGTAAAAAAAACCTTTTATTTGCCTTAGATGAAATCTCCTTTCTTCCAGCCTAAATGTGTGACCTTGTGTCCTATGTATAGCCCGGTTTATGAATAGATTTCCAAATAATGGTTTGGACTGACCACGAATATATTTGTATAATGTTATCATATGCCATCTGAGGTGCTATTTTTCCAAGCTAAAGAGATTTACAGGACCGCTATAATGCCAGCAAAACAAACTTGTTTTCCTTGCACTATGCAGTCATTTGGTGCCCCCTCACCCTAATGGCCCCCCTCCCGCTGGGCTGAAGGGGTTAAAACCCCCTCAGCCACTTACCTTTCTCCAGCACCGTGCTCCCTCTGTGCTGGGGAACTCTCCTCCTGCTGACGTCAGCGTTGAATGCTTTCCTATGGGCGTCAGCATCTTCTCCCTGTGATTTTCAGAGAGACAGCCACTAGAGGCTGGATTAACCCTCAGTGTAAACATAGAAACTGCTATGTGTACAGCTTCAGGGTTAAAACTAGAGGGACCTGGCACCCAGACCACTTCATTGAGCTGAAGTGGTCTGGGTGCCTATAGTGGTCCTTTAAATTTTTTAACCTTTCTTCGTAACTAAAATGCTCCATTCCTTTTATCAGTTTTGTAGCTCGTCTCTGCACTTTTTCTAGTGCCATGATATCCTTCTTTAGAACAGGTGCCCAAATTGCACAGCATATTCAGGGTGTGGTCTTACCAGCGATTTATAAAGAGGCCAAATTATATTTTCATCTCGAGAATTTATGCCCCTATTTATACATGACAAAACCTTACTGGCCTTAGCAACTGCAGATTGATATTGCATATTGCTGCCTAATTTGTTGTCTATAACAATTCCCAAATCCTTCTCGTGTGTGGTTATCCCTAATTCACTACCATTTAGTGTGTAAGTTGCTTGTGCATTCTTAACCCCGAAGTGCATAACTTTACATTTCTCTATGTTAAATTTCATCTGCCATTTGAGTGCCCAGTCCCCCAATCTATCCAAATCCCTCTGCAATATCCTGCTCACATTTTATTACTTTACAAAGTTTTGTGTCATGTGCAAACACTGATACATGGCTTTCAATGCCCATTTCAAGATCATTTATAAACATATTGAATAGAAGTGGTCCCAAAACAGAACCCGGAGGGACACCACTTACCACTTCTGTCCAGCCTGAATATTTACCATTAATGGCAACTCGTTGTACTCTATCCTTAAGCCAATGTTCTACCCAAGAACATTCATCTTGACCAATTTCTTTTAGTTTGTATATTTACACACACTATATGTATATATGCCAGTATTTAAAATCTCATATTAACCCATTCTGTGCCAGTCACCGATAGATCCCCCATTAACCCATTCTGTGCAAGATCTCCCATTAACCCATTCTGTCCTAGTCACTGATAGATCCTCCATTAACCCATTCTGTGCCAGTCACTAATAGACTGTGCCATTCTGTGCCAGTCGCCGATAGATCCCCCCCATTAACCCATTCTGTGCCAGTCACCAATAGACTGTGCCATTCTGTGCCAGTCGCCGATAAATCCCCCCATTAACCCATTCTGTGCCAGTCACTGATAAACCCCACATTATCCCATTCTGTGCCAGTCACCAATAGACCCCCGATTAACCTATTCTGTGCCAGTCACCGATAGATCCCCGATTAACCTATTCTGTGCCAGTCACCGATAGATCCCCATTAACCTATTCTGTGCCAGTCACCGATAGATCCCCCATTAACCTATTCTGTGCCTGTCATCGATAGATCCGCCATTAACCTATTCTGTGCCAGCCACCGATAGATCCCCCATTAACCTATTCTAAGCCAGTCACCAATAGATCTGCCATTAACCCATGCTGTGCCAGATACCGATAGATCTCCCATTAACCCATTCTCTGTCAGTCGCCGATAGATCTCCCATTAACCCATTCTGTGCCAGTCACTGATATATCTCCTATTAACCCATTCTGTGCCAGTCATGATAGATCCACCCTTGACCCATTTTGTGCCAGTCACCGATAGAGCCCCATAAACCCATTCTGTGCCAGATCTCCCATTAACCCATTCTGTGTCAGTAACTGATCGGTCTCACATTAACTCATTCTGTGCCAGTAGCCGATACAACCCCCATTAACACATTCTGCGACAGTCGCTAAAACAAATTCACCATTAACCCATTCTGTGCCAGCTCTTCCATTAACCTATTCTGTGCCAGTCACTGATAGATCACCCATTAAGCCATTCTGTGCCAGTCACCGATAGATCCCCATTAACCCATTCTGTGCCAGTCACCGATAGATCCCCATTAACCCATTCTGTGCCAGTCACCGATAGATCCCCATTAACCCATTCTGTGCCAGTCACCGATAGATCCCCATTAACCCATTCTGTGCCAGTCGCCGATAGATCCCCATTAATCATTCTGTGCCAGTCACGATAGATCCCCATTAACCCATTCTGTGCCAGTCACCGATAGATCCCCCATTAACCCATTCTGTGCCAGTCACCGATAGATCCCCATTAACCCATTCTGTGCCAGTCACCGATAGATCCCCATTAACCCATTCTGTGCCAGTCACCGATAGATCCCCATTAACCCATTCTGTGCCAGTCACCGATAGATCCCCATTAACCCATTCTGTGCCAGTCACCGATAGATCCCCATTAACCCATTCTGTGCCAGTCGCCGATAGATCTCCCATTAACCCATTATGTGCCAGTCGCCGATAGATCCCCATTAACCCATTCTGTGCCAGTCGCCGATAGATCCCCATTAACCCATTCTGTGCCAGTCACCATTAAGCATTCTGTGCCAGTCACCTAGATCCCCATTAACCCATTCTGTATGATGCGGTAGATCCCCATTAACCCATTCTGTGCCAGTCGCCGATATAGATCCCCATTAACCCATTCTGTGCCAGTCACCCGATAGATCCCCATTAGCCATTCTGTGCCAGTGGCCCGATAGATCTCCCATTAACCCGTATGTGCCGATGCGCCGATAGATCCCATTAACCCATTCTGTGCCAGTCGCCCGATGGGTCCCCATTAACCCATTCTGTGCCGGTCGCGATAGATCCGTAACCTATTCTGTGCCAGTCACTGATAGATCACCCATTAAGCCATTCTGTGCCAGTCACCGATAGATCCCCCATTAACCCATTCTGTGCCAGTCACCGATAGATCCCCATTAACCCATTCTGTGCCAGTCACGACAGATCCCCATTAACCCATTCTGTGCCAGTCACCGATAGATCCCCCATTAACCCATTCTGTGCCAGTCGCCGATAGATCCCCATTAACTCATTCTGTGCCAGTCACGATAGATCCCCATTAACCCATTCTGTGCCAGTCACCGATAGATCCCCCATTAACCCATTCTGTGCCAGTCACCGATAGATCCCCCATTAACCCATTCTGTGCCAGTCACCGATAGATCCCCATTAACCCATTCTGTGCCAGTCGCCGATAGATCCCCATTAACCCATTCTGTGCCGGTCACCCGATAGATCTACCAACCCATTCTGTGCCAGTCACCGTTAGATCCCCACATTAACCCATTCTGTGCCGGTCACCGATAGATCCCGATAACCCATTCTGTGCCAGTCACCGTGGATCCACATTAACCCATTCTGTGCCAGTCACCCGATGGATCCCCATTAACCCATTCTGTGCCAGTCGCGATGGATCCCATTAACCCATTCTGTGCCGGTCGCGATGGTCGATAACCCATTCTGTGCCAGTCGCGATAGATCCCATATTACATTCTGTGCCAGTCACCCGATAGATCCCCATTAACCCATTCTGTGCTGATCGCGATGGATCCCATTAACCCATTCTGTGCCGGTCACCCGATAGATCCCCCATTAACCCATTCTGTGCAGTGCGGCGATAGATCTGATAACCATTCTGTGCCAGTCGATAGATCCCCATTAGCCATTCTGTGCCGGTCGCCGATGGTCTCCCATTAACCCATTCTGTGCCAGTCGCCGATAGATCCCCCATTAACCCATTCAGTGCCAGTCGCCGATAGATCCCCATTAACCCATTCTGTGCCAGTGGCCGATAGATCCCCATTAACCCATTCTGTGCCAGTCACCGATAGATCCCCCATTAACCCATTCTGTGACACCCGGCGGCCGGAGAGACTCACTGCATCCAAACACAGCGACACCCGGCGGCCGGAGAGACTCACTGCATCCAAACACAGCGACACC